AAAAAAAAAAAACTGAAGCCGCATTCGGTTGGCGCATCCGGACGCGACATGGGTCGTACGGTCACAGCGACCAGTCGCTCGGTTCTCGATCGGCCCGACCCGGCCGGTCGCACCCCATCTGTCCAAATATGCGGGCCGGACATAATAATATATATTTTTTTAATAATAATATATTAATAAAAAATTAAAATAAAAAAAATATATTAAAAAAATATAATTATGTTAAATTAAAATTAATATAATTTATAATAAAAAATTATAAAATATAATTAATATAATTAATGTAGTAATAAAGAAGTATTATAATTATGTTAAAAAAATTAATATAATTATATTATATTAATGAATACTATATTAGAAAAAGTATTACAAATAAATTATTATTACTAAATAATTATAATAATAATAATCTAAAAGAAAAAATATTATATTAATAAAGAAAAGTAAATAAGAATGAAATATTAATTATAAAAAAAATTAGTGAATATTATAAATTATAATTACTATTATAATAGTTATTACAATATTTATTAATTTTGAAATTGATTAATAAGTTATTAGTATTAACTTAAGACGTTATTATAAGTAAATTAATCAATTTAATTTGACTTTAAAAATTAAATTAAAAAAATATTTACAAAATTAAAAAAAAATATATTTACTAATTTTTATTTTTCATTGATGATTTAGGGTATTGCTAGGCCTGAACGATCTGATAGGAACGACGACGAGATGGATGAGTATATTGACGAATATGGACACTGACATCCGAAGCAACGGGGTATAACTGCGTCCGCTCGTCGGGATCGAGAATTCATTATCCAAGAGGCTCGGAGAGTACAGACTGGCCAGACAGGCAGTTCGAGACTGCAGACACCTCTACCAGATGGTCAGAGGGGATATAGTACACCACCATTACTAGGTGGTTATCATATCATTCCATTCGCATATCATTCTCACATGTCAATCATGTCACGAGTAATATTAATTTTCAGTTGTTCGTTATCATTATGTACGTTATGAATTAAAATTACCATTAAACAAGTTATGTATAATACACACGAGTATCATTTTATATACAGCTAATAGTTTATTTTTCAAATAAGTATTCACCAATTTGGAAATACGAATTATTATGCTCATATTTTGAATATAAGACATGCATACTTTGCTCCCCATTTACATATCCTTCTTCAAAGGGTTTACAGTTAAGTAAATACCATGGTTTTCAAAATCGAACCGCTCATCGAACCGATGATGCTACCGGTTCAATGGTTCACTTGTCGGACTAGTGGTCGAACCGGTCAAACCAAGTTAATAAATATACAACTTTTTTTATTTATCGTATATTGATAATATATAATTATATATATTTGTAATTTATTTTATAGTATATGACATTTATCTAAATAAGAGTTCAATAACAGATACAACTTGAATAATGTTGATACCTTCTTTTATTTTAAATTTATAGTAATCTATAATTAAGTTACAAAATAGAGAAAAAAGAGACAACTCTTTTTTGATTTTTAGATATATTTTAAGTTTTTTTTAATATTGATTAAAAAATAAAAAAAAAAATTATGTGCATAACAAAAAACAATAGATTGTTCCTTTCTTTTTAGATAAATTGAGAATAATTATAGTCCAATACAAAATATACTATATTTTTCTTTTAATGAGTACAATGTTTTTGTAAGGCCCAATGTTGGCCCAATAATTCAACAATAGCCTTCATTTGTAACATATCTCACATTGGAAACACAAGTAAGCAATGTGTGCTCTTTAAATGAGTTCACATACTACTCATAAGTTCTAAAGCTAGAACCGTTGAACCGTTCAAACCAGTTCCGGTTCACCAGTTAAACCGGTTTTTGGCCGGTCCGAACCGTTCTGGAAGGTTCGAACGGTTCTTGGTCCTGCCGGTTTTATGCTTCAAACCGGACCGGAATGAAGGCCGGTTCCCAGTCCAACTGGTTGAACCGGCCGGTCCGGTCAGGTCCGGTTTTAAAAACCATGGTAAATATACACATACAAATACCCAAAAAAATATGAATTAAGCTAGTTTTACTATTATCATTATTAATGATTTTGTGGTAGAAAAAAATATAAAAATAAAGAAAGTACTACAAAACATCTCCCATTGGTTAATCATCTTGTATAATACTTCCTCTCGTCACTGATTGATATAATATAGTTTTGAAATCTGACAGATACAGAAAATCCTCTTCTGAGTGTATATAAATGTATATATATGCCTATCACTGAAAACTATATATATAAATATATCCCGACCTGTATGGCCATTCTGAACAAGACCAATCAACCACATATTTCCACTTCAGAGCTCTGCAGCCAAAAAACGAAAAGGCCGAAAATCTGAAGCCAATCACCGCATAAAACCATATTCCCTGTCGAGTGCCGGAGCGAAAGAGATGGCAGAGAAAGCAGGGACAAGGCTTTTGCTACAACAGCAGTGCATTATAAGTTAGCACACTTTAGATCGAAGTTCAATTTAGCAATCGAACCACAATACGATAATAATGATAAAAAAGAAAAATTAAAAAGAAAAGAAAATGAATATGCACAACTACCTAAAATGCCATTTATTTTTCCAGTGTAACTGTATTTTAATATATCCAAGTAGCCGAACAGTTTAGTTCTTAGGATTTCATTTTCGCGTTGAACAATTCTGAAAACTCAAAATGAAAAATGTTTCGGGTTCAATGCTAGGTTTTGAAAAAGACTTTTCATGTCATTCCCATTTAGGTCCGATTCGGATCCCTCCGTTGTTTCCTTTTCCTCCCGCACCTTTTCATGGTTTTATGGCTTGAGGTCGAGTAAATATAACAATTTTGGAGCAGGAAGAATAACATAGTTATAATTTATAAGCACTAAGCGTTGCACATAACTAGCTGCTAGCAATTGAAGAAAATACTTCATTAGTTCATTTGAAATGAATCGATATATATCATTACCTTCAAATCCAACAAGGCAGCAAAAGAGGCGCACGACCTTTCATTTTGAATGAGCAACTAATTGCCGTTAGCTCCATTCTCAGACGCTGGACTTCTACTCTTTATCAGCTGTTGCAAGCAGGACATAAGTATTAACACTAAAGATGACAAGTGGGATACAAAGTCAAGGTAATGCGCTTCAAAATTCAAATATAAAGTCGTTTTTATCTCATCTTGGCTGGTTAACTATATTAACATGAAATTATGCATCATAACTAATAAAATACCAAAATTTAAAAATCACATTGATGCTTCAATTTTTAGATAAAATACATGATATTAACTCAAAGGAAATACAGGTAAAAATATTAAATAACTAGCTCCAATATTGAAAGACAACCATAAATTTATTTAGTTTTGAAAAAAAGGGGGCATGGTTGGACGAATATTTAGTTTTGAAAATGTTGTTTGTGTTCAGAATAGTGATGTATTAGTTCTTGAAAAATGAATAACTAATTCTCCAAATAATGGAGAATAAAACCTCATGTTATTCTCTGCGTGAGGATTTGAATTGCAATGGCTAATGATCGAAGTTTATTTCATATAAAATAATACTAGTCTAGTTGTATATAATAGGGGTTTGAAGTTATGTGCGTAGCAGAACATTGAAACTTAAGGAGAAATGAGTAATAATTACTAGTGATTGGGATGGTCTTATTTTAAAATCGAATGAACTGGTTGTAGAGGAAAAAGTGGAAATAAGTCGGTGAAAATGAGCAGTAACACACCCTAAAACACTTATTTTTCTGCCTTATTGTTGCATAACAAGAATCATTATAGATCAGTTATTATAACGAACAACAGTCAATCGAAGCAGTCGCTCCAATATCGGATCATCTGTTTATCTACGATTATAATTAACTCACATATATAAAAAGGAATCACAGAATATATGCACGGAGTGCAAGTGCAGAAAAAAAATAATGTACATAAATAATGTATAACTTGCTCAAATCACTATGTCATTTCGTTATTGTGATCCTACAATTACCTCAAACTACCAACTCTAATTCTCAGGAGACCGCTATATCTTATGTGATAATGCAAAAGATGACACAGCGATAGAAAGAACATGGGTGATTTAACTGAACCAACCTTGTAAAAATACTTCTTTCGCAGTTTGATGGCAGTGCGTACACATCTCTTCACTCTGATCTTTAATATATTATCATTAAATATCTGCAAAATTTAATTACAGATGAGATGAGAGACAAACTTATCTTTACAGATGTTCAAACAGCAACAATATAAAACCCTATCAGACAGCATCTAACGAAATTCCACAGAAGCAAACGGATGCGCATTATTATACATTTATACTGGCAGCAGGAATCAGATTATTTTTCATAGGACAATTAAATTGGGGAACAGAAAGCAAGTATACTCCAGAGACCTAACAAACGAATCGAAAAAAATGTTTCACAGGAGCGAAAACCAAACTAACGAATTGAGAAATATGTCAGGGTAACTCTTGATCATGTAATCCTCAGCTAACACTGAAAAGAAAACTCATAAATGTACTAACAAGCCTAATGAAAATTCCGAACAGCAACATCATGGATACATGGCAATAACTTCTCAACACAGACTAGATTAAAAGTCGAGCAGCGCAGCTACAATATGGAACTCACAAGGAATAATAAATAATGGCTTTCATGTATGCTGCTGTGTCAGAGACTCAGAATGTGGCTGACCACTAAATTTGCAGTGTAAAAGGAAGCATAGATAACCATTAGAGGAAAAAAATGGTCAACAATCTCAATTGAAAGATCAATTGTTTCTAGTATTAGGACGTAAAATATAAAACTTATAGTTCAGTAGTGTAAATCCCAAAAAAAGAAGAAAAAAAAAAGATAAAACCTAGTTGATTCTGTGATCTTCCATAAAAAATCTATGGCTCAAATAAACAGAACAGATCAAGAAAGCCAAAACTACTTTCCAATATGACTTTTGCAAGAACACAGAAATCCTTCTGTAGTAAATTAAGAAAGATGAAAAAGTTCACAACAATAAAATCACAAAATGGCTTGCGGCACTTCCAGAAAGATAAAAACACATTGTAAAACATGCCTTTATCAGGTCGTCAATTGAACGAGTTTCTCTGATGATTTTCTGACGGTTTATAATAAGAACAGCTGCTACACAGAAAACAGGCAATTCATCGTCACCATTTTTTGTTGATGATACAAGGGTACGTATCTGAAAATGGTCACTCCTTGACCAGAAAGTTTTTGTCAAGCCACAAAATGGTCTGGCTGCTAGTGATTCAATTCCGTTGTCAGAAATGGAACGCTCCACAGTTCCATGTTTTGAAGGATTACCGCCACAATCAGTGCTTTCTTCGCCAGATTCAGTTTCTGCTTCCTTAGATAACTGTATAGCCAATACTTCAGGGCAATTTTCATCCAGAAGACAAGTCAATGTGACATTAAAATCAGCAGCCCAAATCATCTGCACGCAAAAATCACAAACTGAGCAAAATATGTCTACAGATACCATTTTCTTCATAAATAACCAGCAACGTAAACGCATGATTTGAGAAAATATCCATAAAACTTCAAAAATTATTCATCAGACATGCATTAACACGATGACAAAAACAATATTTCTTTGCATTTCTTGATTCTGAGACCAAATTATTCATTCCTAATGGAAAAATATTAAATCCAGTCTCCAGGCATTGTCAGCAGAAACAACCATGCATTACCAGAAAACCAACTAAACCCACTCTATATACTAACGAAGTTGACACTGGGTGATCATCTGTCTTTTTACCCACTCAATAGCAAACAAAGGATTTTCTGTGTGGAAAAACTTCATTCTTGCTAGTTGATAATAGATAATAGGTAACCGACTTCAAATTCAACCAAATGTATACTTATGAATTCCTTTGTTAACACTCAGCAAAAAAAAAAATAATAATAAAAAAAAAAAAAGCAAATCTGAGGTTAAATGACTAAAGCAAAATAGTAGAGATTCGATATCCTTAGAACCAAAAAACACAAGGTCATGATCCAATCTAAATAAAGTTGTTGGCCGTATTTGTCCGTCAAATATATTTGAGAATAAGAAGGATGTTAGGTTGGCTGATAATCTTTTTCCGAGAAGCCAAATGTAACGTGTGAATCATCAGATTTTATAAAAGATGGAGTTGAATACAGAACTAATGGAATTGTTGTGCCACTAGCATTTTGATGCAGTATCACCATCTTTTCAATACTGACAGCATCCGACCATTATCATACTAGTTTGCTTATTAGTTTGTTATTATGATAATTGGTTATTTATGACACAATAATTACCACCAGTGGCTCTTTTTCACTTGATCTGGTTGTTAGAGGCATGATTCTAATTTTAATTTTGATTTTCACCAGGTACATGTGAAAATAAATAAATAAATAAATAAAAAATACACTATCAGCTTTAAGCAGGGGGTAAAGATTTCCCAAGGAACCCCGTATTCATTTCCTTTATCAAAATTCTGCTTTCTTAAAATTGCCCCTGACCATCGAGTTGGTCCTGAACCCCTAAATCTGTTGGTATATGTCCTTAAGCAGTAACTTTGTGTGAACAGAAAAATATAACCCTAACCAATTGACATACACATGAATCAAAGATAACAAAAACGACGAGATACACAAATTTTAAGCACAAACCTCCCACATGCAAAGAGCTTCATTGAAAGATAATTCCCGTCGGAAGAGTACCAGAAGCATACGGAAAGCAAAGTGAAGGCTCTGGGCACCTATGTGGGACAAGTGAGAAAACATCTCCCTGTCTGTAAGTTCTAATATATGCCAGAGAGCTTGCAACTGCTTCATGACACCAGTTGGCCCTTCCATCTTGAAGTTTTCTCGCTGAAGAATCATGATTTATGATATCACAAACTAAAGAAGAGCAGAAATGAACAAAAGATGACATAAAACAGCAATTCTGTCATGTACCATTCTCCTCAAAAGCATCTCAAAGCACCAAAAAGCATCAGCATTATCCTCAAAAAGAACAATGAAGGGGGACAATAAATCACTCATGCCTGCAGACAAGTAAGAATATAAAGTCAGTGCCAACTCCGATTGCGTAAATTGGCATTACAATAATCATGATTTCTGATAACAAAAACACACACAACCTTGGCAATATCCTGTTGCAGGATCAACCCATGCATAGACAGCAAGAATATCTGACATCCGTGCTAAATTTTTTGTGTCCTCATAAAATTCAAGGTGACTATCCGTTCTGACCACATCAACGACTGAAGAAGAAAAACATAAGATCTAATTTACTCCATCAAATAGTTCAAGGAGAAAAAGGAACACATTTTGGTTAAGAGGACTTTAACTTATAATATATATATATATATATATATATAGAGAGAGAGAGAGAGAGAGAAGAGAGTAATACCTATACGATGCAGTGTCCAAAGCCATTCAGACACTCTGTCTTCACTGGCTCCTCCTCCTTGGGATGTTGTCGCATATTGGGCTGGCAATTCTGGTGCATCCGATATTCTAAGCCCATTGAACAATTCTGCCCCATATTCCAAGTTACTTGTCCGGGAAATGGATTCACGCATGTCAGAATTGATAATGTCACTTTTGGGGTTATCATATTGTGACACACTATTGGTTGGGAGACTATCTGATTCCACTACAAGATCTGCATTATTGTCAATTTCAAAACTGTGCATATGCTCATCATCATATCTCAACTTGCGCTTTGATGAGTTTTTGTCCTCATGTAAACTATCTACTTTTGTATCTTCATTATTCTCTTCAAACAAATCTCTAAAAGGTAAAGCGGGAAAATCCAAATAACTTCCAGCCATATAATTTGGCTCATGAGTTTGATGAGCAGTGGGGAAAGTGTAGTTGCAAGGATCAGGGGATGGTATGCGACAAGAGGAATCATAAGCTCCTCCCATGGCACTGTCACGTACACATACAAGGTCACCAGAATCATCAGAACCCTCCTTTTGACATGTGTAAGATTTATCGGAAGATTTGCGGTTCATAACGAAGTTAGCTTCTATATTGTCAGAAGTGGCATCTGTAAATCGTGCACTTTGAACTTCAGTATCCCTTCCCCTATCTTCTTTGGAACTAATCCTCATGTCCATGACTTTTGATCCTACAATATAGGCCAGAGAACCAGTTCCGATGCTTGAGTGCATCCTTTGACATTGCTTCACAAGATCTCTGTAACGCTCCCTGCAAGAGATTTGTTTGCAGCAACACGTGTACCTTAGACAACATGCATTCTTTAAACTTTTACAATGTGAAAAAACAAGAGAAAGCCAAACAGCATCATGGGATAGCATTTGGGGTATTTTATTCCAGAAAAATAGCATTGATAGGTGGAGAGCAACGAAATAATTCCAAATTATGAGACACCAGCACAGTATAACACATTTAGTGAGAGGATGAGGGGTAAAAGAAAAATAAAAGTATTACTAGCTTCTTATCTCTACCAATTAACGAATTATCAGTAGTGTCTGCCCCACTCAGCACATGCCATATTCTTTGGAAACATCTCCATTTCCCATTATAACTACATGACCTAGATGTCCAGGGCAAATAACACATGCATGCGAGCGTAAACAGAAAGGTGCTTGAGCTCCACTACCGCCCAACAAATGAGAACTAAGAGATGCACTTCAGCCACATCAAATTTGAGGTTCATAAGAGGTAGCATCTAGGACAAACATTCTAACTTCGGAGAATTGTCAACTTTGCAAGTTGAAAATACACGCAGCATGTATTCTACCTTCTTGTTGAATCCAAAATAAACCATGCAACTTAATTTTTCAGTTCTAAATAGAAAATGATCCAAGTCATTTCTGAGACGCAAATTAGTTCAACCTATCAGCTGATAGGTCAAATGGTTGCAGGATTTTATAATTCAAAAATACCAATATCTGGTCCCAGGTTTAATATTTCGAGGGCGGGAAAATGATAGTACAGAAATTACAAATATTCAGCTTGGCCACCCACTCTACTGGTAAGAGACAGTTCCAATTTATAGCTGATGTCTTATGAGCTTCGCAAGGTAATATGATTACCAATCTGGTGACAATTTAGCCTGTACCAGAAAAGCTTACACATGGAATCGTTTGGTCAGAGCATTTCTTTTCTAGCACATGAGGAAAGCAAGCAAAATGAGTTTCAAAGGAGAAACATTTTGGGCTAGTTAGAAATGTTATAAATCATCAGAAGTGAAAAATATTAAAGCAAAAATCCCTAGAGCCTAAAAAAGTAAAAACTTATCCATATCTATGACTGATGACAATTGAACCACATACTAGTATTCCACCTGTGCATTTGCACAGATAAATAAAGTATTATACGTTATTTTTAGGCATATAATATTAAAATTATAAGTTAGATATTGCGGTTAAATTTTAAACATAGAGTATAATAAGTTTATTATGCATATAATAACAAAATTATAAGTTATATAATGGTATTATGTTATAGAATTTGATCATTGAATATAATAAATAGTACGTACCTATTTGATTGCATATGAATCACTATATTGATTGCATAATATGATGAATAATATAATAGTTGTAATTTGGAGAGATGAATTAATTCACTGAAAAATATTAAATTTATTATAACAGTTGCTTATGCGATTTTAAGGGATTTTAATATAACATTAAAATAAATTAATTTATTTAAAAATCTTACTTAATTAGATAAAAAAATATAATACTGATTTTAGAATAAATAACTTGAACAAAAAGATTTACAATATAATGTTTTATGTTTATGTAACTTTAATATATCATTTAGTGTAAAATATAATTATTAATTCAAATAATAACTATTATATGATACAATCAATTTATACAAAATGTAACGATTTTGGTATTAATTAACAGAATAAGCTTTGGAAAGTTAGGTTTCACGTGAGTATAATTTATGAGGTAAAAATTATAAGGTTTTATTTAATAGATTGCTAGCACTTATATACATATAAACAAAGGCTTAAATTATATGGTTGGGAACATTACAAAAAGAAGATGAATAAAGTGGAAAGAAAATAAAAATTGACATTAATGATAGAATTTTGTAACCATAAAACGCGGGAAATCCAAATAGTTTTATTATATTATTTTGCTATATATAATTATTACGTTTCGAAAAAAAAAAGTGTTCATTTTACAAATATCAACTTTTTAAATACATTTTTAAAAATATTTTGCCAATCACTCAATATTTAGGAATTCATTCCATATTTCAAGTTTGCAGTGTATAATCTCAATTATCAAAAACTTCACAATCTCAATTTTCAAAAATTTCACACTGTAGTTGGAGTGACATTATTAAAATTCCAAATAAACAATTTTCAAGCTTATACCTTAAAATTTCCTCTTTGGAATTGAATGATTTGCGGTAAGGATTACAGATTGAAACCTTTATGGATGTAATTAATCATTGATTAATTTCGGTTACAAATTTTACTTAAAAAAAAAAAGAAAAAAAAAATAATTTTGGTTTGTAACGGCTTTAGGCGGGAAAATTTTGAGGTTTTATTAAATGTTTTATTAAATGCATCAGCTGGTAATTATATATATATAGATTAGCCATGACTTTCCAAGAAAGTCGATGTATTACGTTATTCATACAACTTTTTTTTTTTTTTTTGTGTGTGTGTGTGAATAAATCTCAATTTGCACGCAAGTTCATGAACAATTACATATTGAGAAATTAACCCGAACCAACTAACTAATAGGATGCCCCAAAACATTACAAAGTCTCTAAATAATTATTAGCAGGTTATCAAGCCAAATATTCAGGTATGAAATTCGGTTTATTCCTTATCCAATGACACAATCACCGATTGGTCCTAGCAGGCAGCAAAGACATACGCAAGAAGATGATTTCCACTGGGGTTTGTTTCTAGTACCACTTGAATTGGATTTTGAGATATGAACTTGACAAAAAAAATAAAATAAAATAAAAAATGGGAAACCAAGAATTGATATTTAGATCACTTGCAAGAGGCAAAAAAAGTTGATAAGAAGCGATGATCCAACTGCAGACTTAAGCCGCCAAGAAAGACTATTACCTCCTAGCAGTTCTTAATTGCCTCCGGTATTCAGCAGTGCTGCTCAAAGAATAACAACCCAAAAGAAATTCCCACACTTCAGGCCTTATGGATGGATCCACCCCCTGTTGTAAAGAAAAGGCACATTAGCAAAAATGTCTTGGAGGTAAAACTTCTATCTTATCTTTTCTATAGGTATTTGTTCTTGGTTTCAAGTATGGATATGCCGCTAGGGCTATTGGAGCATCTGCATGGGCCACTTCATTACTGCAGTTCAATAATAATATTTTTGCCGCACTCTCCAGCATTGACATAAAAAAAGGTCAAATCGGCCTTAAATACACGCACCCAAAGGGAGTAACCCTCGGCCTCTGCCCACCAACAAAATCTCCAAAACCACTCAAACTAAGCTTGTAGTGACATATTTTAAGACAGAAATATGGAGATAGGATTGATGACAGACAAGTTTCATTTTCAGTCAAAACTCAAAAGCTATTCAGAGTACATGAGATATAACCATCATGCTGGATACCAGATAATTGTTGTAACTTTTTATTTACACTTTAAGAAATCTTTTTCTTTGATTTTGCGCTTTCAGTCGGATTCTGTGCCGGAACCAAAATGAACACTTTTTTCTACCAGCTCACCAGAATAATCTATAATTCCCAAGAGAAAGCAGTCCACTGTACATACCTAATTATTTCCCAAGTGTGGCCTAACACTTTTATGTCTAACCCAATGCCCCTCATACCATCCATATTCTAAGCTATAAACAAATGAACCACAATAAAAGCATTATACAGTGCTTGAAACTAGTCATGTTGGTATATTATGGTTCCCTATGCAAGTGCAACGACTAACAACTTTCTCAAATCTTATTAAGCTGAAAACTGTTAGCCATCATGAGCATTAAACGGCTAAGACACCTGAAGTAATACACAGAGGCAATGAGAAGACATATCATCAATTCTTGGCTGTCCAACATTGAAAATTATTTTCTAATCATTGACACCTGACCATATTGTAAGGACAGCAGAGTATCTACCAAAAACTGGTGAAAAAGGGAAGTAATGGATATTATAGTGAGTAACCTCAATATATCATACAAAACTACAAACAGAGGAGAAAGAATTAATATAAGACATATAAATCATAATATGAATACCAAAACATCACAATGGGACTACAAATCATGGTATGAAATTATGAAAATAGAAAAACTTAAAACAAATTATTACAACCTTCTGAAACACCTACCCCAAGAATAATTAACTTCAGTACTTTCTGAAAACCAAGAATCTTTCCTTCAGAGTCAAAGGTCGCCTGCCACTTCTCTGGCTTAAGCATTTTGTTTATCTGTTGATTTCAGAATCTAGTAAAAAACTCCACATAAATACAATAACAATCTTCACAAAATACTAGACTAAAATCAGAATACCAAAAGAACAAAATAGACCCAATATCTCATTTCCCCTGGGAAAGCACATAAGTAAATGAATATGGCATTCTATACCACCAGTATATCTTTCTTTTTAGCTTACCACTACAAATCAGCTTTATCTTGGTAATATATTTGTTAGTTAAACATATGTGTCCCACATCGATCAGCTATTGGGCTGTTAGTGGGCATAAGTGTGGGTTGGGCACCCTCTCCCTTTGAGCTAGCTTTTGGGGATGAGTTCTACCCAAGCCCATTTGTCAATATTCAAACAAAAACCAATAACTTAGCCAGGAATCAGCACTACAACACAAGTAGCAATCACTAAATCACATAATAATAGATAGATTCACACTTTACATAAAGGACTCAGATTAATGCAACAGCAGGGTATGTAAAACTAATATGCAAAAGAAAGAAATTCACCAATGCATCCCACTGAACTTCAGATTTATTTTTGAGCACAAGAATCCAAGACAATAAAGAATTATTCAACTCAAATCATTATAACGGTGAAAAAACTTAAAGAGGCATCTAAAATGGACAAGGATCTACATGAGAGAAAAAATATGATAAGATGAGGTGTTAACCTTGGTACTGGAAATGTAGCTTCTCTTGCATATTTGAGAAACTTCAACATCTAAATTGCTGGGTGCTTATCGAAATTTTTTCACCTAATATTTTTACGAGTCTTATACATCCCTTCTTTTGGGGTGGCAGTAGCCAAGAATAATTGTGGCAACAACTCCGACTTCATTACTCACAGCAGCATTTAAAGCAAAATATAATGCTCATTAGATAAGAAGTTCAAAGTTCAATCACAGCCAAACTCTTTTTTAAGTCCCTTTAATCAAGTACAAATTTCTCAGTAACCATCTAAACTTGGACTTGCTAATCCAAAGTTACTTGAAAGTAATCATTGGTTTTGGAGTGATAATTTGAGAGGATAACGTGGAAAAGGCGTTTGTTAAATGTATATATATATACATATATATATATATGTGTGTGTGTGTGTGCGTGTGTGTGTATATATATATTGCAAAATGTGTTGCTTCTTCGATATATTCTGAAAACAAAAAATTACGAATGAAGAAATGACGAGAAATTAGGGCCTTCCAAAGCCTTCTTTTTTCACCCCAAATTTTATTTGGACTTGTTCTATTGGCAGCATTTTCTTCCCCATGGAATAAAATCCTTGTTATTTCCCCTTTACCTCAAAGAAATATACTCTCCTAAATATTATAGTCACAAAAATCATTATGTTTCATTATATTTTTCGATTGTTATTTAATTTCCTTATAATATACCGCAAACAAGAAAATGAACCGATGCTATAAAAAAAGCAACAATCTTTGACATTCTTTACATGTTCATCAAAAAGTGATTGAAATGTACCAGTAATCAAATTTCCAGGGACAAGCAAAATATTTCTGAGCAACCCGTATAAGCATTTAGCACAGAATAAATGTCAGTACCACATCACAAAGACGGGCAAAATACAATAGACAAAACACCACAGAGGTTCATAGGATTATCACGACCTTTATAGGTGACTGATAGAGGCACGGCTCCCCAATATCGCGAACTATCGAACTCACTCTCTGAAAATTCACTGTACCACCTTTCACACATTTCCATTGCTTCTCCTCAGCGTCAAAAGACATCACCTAAATCCGACTATCCTCTATCTGTGCCCACTCAACTCAACCTCTTCTATCTGTATACATGCATAGCAACAGATATAAACCATCAGCACATTCATAATTTACAAATAGAAACAATCTACTGTAAACAAGAAAATGACAGACAGTTTAACATTTGTTGAAGAAGAAAAAGACACAAATCCTATGTTAAACTAAAACAAATCAGATCTAATTAAGACAAAAAACACTGGAATTTCAGACTAACAGAAATCTAAAGAAACCCATAGACCACATCCGACCAGAGCAAAAAAAAAAAAAAAAAATCATTGCAACAAGAATTGAAATCACACGAACACATATTATCTCGTAGTACCAATTAATGGATTCATACATATATCAAAATGAAAGGAAAGGGAGATAAAATAGGAATGCACCTGAAGGGTGAAAAATGGAAAAACTGCAGTATCTCTGACGAACAGAGATCAGGGGAAGACGTGCTTTTGGCCTGCGACGCCATTAACATACAAAGATCGTTTTTTCCACTTTTTTTTTTATTTAAATTATTTTTTAATACGGACTGGCCAGGCTTTCCTTTTGTATCCGAGTTTGGTGAGGTATCAGAATTCAGAAGTCAGCGATTTAGAAGACTAGGAAGAAAGGCTAATTCGAATTTTTAGTCATATTATTATGAGGAAAAAAAA